AAATCCTTGCCCATTCTTCTTTGCAAAACTTTTGCAAGCCACTGTATCTTAGTTTATCTTAGTAGGCTACTGGTGTGCTAGCATGTGATAGTTAGCATTAAAACAAAGTCCTTAGACTGAGAATAATACAGCCTATAATACAGAATAAAATGTTATCTGATGACGATGCTCTTTATTTACAGTATCTGTATTTATAAAGCACTTTTCAAAGTAAAGTCTCAAAGTGCTGAATATTAATAAAACCAACAAATAAAAAATGAAAGTTAAAAGTAAATACAGTGGAAATGAAAACAATTTAAAATGATCTGAACATGATTATAAAATAATTATATAAATTATATTACATGTCTGTCAAAGCACTTCCCTGAAAACATCAGAAACAAAATGACCAAAGTCATAGAATTCCTCCACTAAAGAGCAGGAATGTTTGGATCATATTCCATGTCATTCCATCTGATTATTGTGGAAATCACCACAAAAACCAAAAGCTTGGCTTGTAGTGTAGTTTTGCCCTCATAAATCGACGGGAAACTGACATCGGAGGTATGGAATAAGGTGAATCAGGTGCAAATACCAAAATTTTCTGGATCAATAGATAACAAAGCTTTGGTATGTGTTTTACGCTGTGCTGTCACCCCAGCCCAGTTACAGCTTACTCCTTGCATTCTTCACATAGTTATGTTCTGATGAATCTCTCAGATAGCCTTAATCATTTGCAGTCTCCTCTTAAAAATGAAACCATACTGCTGCTTCATTAGTACAAAGTATTCAGGTTTCATATTTTGACAGCCACGGTGACCTCATTAAATGACATGTGGTCTGTTTTCTCCAGAACTAAAACGGCCAAGCAGGCCACTTTTCAAAGCTTGACTGTTGATTATGTTGGAAACAATACATTAGACATTAGGGATTTGTTTAAAGGTCAGCGCTACTTTAAACTTCAACTTGAGTTGTTTGGAGAACAATATCCCCCTGTAAAGGTCAGACTAATGGTTAACATTTCTAGGCGTTTTGGGCCCTAAGCTGACACCCTTATCAAGAGTAATTTACAACTAGAATGCAGGAAGCAGATCACTGTTTCAGTCAAGGACACATCGCTGTTGATAGGCACGTTGAGTTGCAGGAATCTGGCACAAACTTTCTCAGTCCCAAAATAGTATTCAGCACATTGTTATGTGCAGAATAAAAAGTAAGTGCATATTTAATTCATAATGTTTATAGACTTTTTGTTTACTTTTCAATTTAGTTTTTTAAAATTCTCCATCTGCTGTCATGCTTTTTTGTAGTGCAAAAGCAGTGAGATGAAAATAAAACTGAGCGTATGGGCATAATGTTCAACTCCTATCTGCTGTGCTAAATCAGAGTAATCATGTTGGTGATGGGGGGATACAAATGAATGAAGAAACGCACAATACACATACCAAAACAGAAACACCATGGCTTTATTATTTTTTTAAAAGGTGTTCTAACCTGGAAACCTTACCTTCTGGAAATATTATAACGCTTCAGAGATTGCAATTTTTTGTTGTTGTTGTTGTTGCCAAAATCCTGTTGAGCTGCAGCTGATTGATGTTGAGATGATTTTTTTTGGAGCGCATGCCACAGATGTCCTATTTCTGGCATTGCTTTGATCTTATTCCATTTTTCATCCTTCGGTTTCATTCATCTCATTTGCCCAGGGACTGGTGAAAGTGGGAAGAGTACTTTCATCAAACAGATGAGGATCATCCATGGCAAAGGATACAATGACACTGACAGGAAAGGCTTCACTCGTGTGGTGTATCAGAACATCATAGCGGCCATCAAGGCGATGATCAACGCCATGGAGACTCTTCACATTGACTATGTCGATGACCAGAACATTGTGAGAAACCAAGCATTTAAAATGTTATGTGGTGTTTGAGAAAGCTTGCTGTACCAGTTACATTGAGAAAAACAAATTAGAAATAATACTAGCATTGTAACATGCAGGCTATATAAATAGGCAGTTTTCCACTGCAGGAACTTGTGAGTTGCTTTTGGGGCCTGCGCCTTTGTGTGTGCATTCTGACCACAGGGCGAACCTCCTGTAAGGCCTCATTCGGGGTTGTAAGCGGCCACTCTAGGATAGGTTCTTCAAAGTGGTCCAAAAAAATTTCTGATTGTGTTATTTTTTAAAAACTAACAATCTAAATGTCACTATAAGTGATTTAAAATCCACACAGCAAACACCAGTGCACCAGCTATGTCACTGTTGACTTTGTTTTAGTCTCATAAATCCATAGGTATATCACATTATTCGTTTGAGTGCTTCCCCCACCTCCAACCCACTCAAGAACTGTGCTAATTATTTTAGGGATTGTAACATCTTGCCCTATTGAGCAATCTGTTACACTGGCTTTTGATTTGGGGGTTGTTTCTGTAAATGTGCCCGAGTTGCCGCAGTGGACAGACAACTAATTCTGACTAGCTGAGCTATTTTCGGTATTAAATTCTGTTTGTTCAGTGGCAAATCACAACACGTGGGAGTTTTTTGCGGAGGGCGAGGTGGGGGTCTTCTGTTAAACCACAAGAATCAGACTCAGGGTGGGCGGCCATCTGCCTAGAAACAGTTGGCGTGTGAAAAAAAAACAACCAAGATATAAGCAATGAAGAACAATAACACTCAGTGACTGTGTGGCCCATAATACAGAACATCTGGAGGACCAGATACCAGTAAATACATGGATCCAAAAAGGGGGGAAATGGCGAGAATAAGACAGGAGAGGTGCTCATTATACCATATACATTTGCAACTTGGAGCTATAAACGCATAACTAAGGGATATTAAGATGGTGCAAACTTTTATCCTGCAAAATAATTGGACAAATGTTAAGGGATCATAGAAGTTATTACAGTTTAAACTTTGGGGGACATGAAAGTGTGCACCAAATTTAATTTAACAAAAGCTAATTCATGCTTGTTACTTTTTAGTATTCAAAAACTTGTACAGACAATTAATCTTTCTACATCATGTCATTGCAGTAGATCTGGTTCTTCTTGAGAACTATAGTAAAAAAAAGGAAACATTGCCTAAAAACGATCTCTTGCAAATTACAAAACCCATCTAGTGGGATTTCTTTTACAGCGGTCATTGTATTGAACGTGTACTGAAGAAGTAAAATGACCTGTGTATCTGTCTGTCAGGGGTATGCAGAGAAGCTGAGCCAAGTGGACTTGACCTATGTGTCAAGTTTGGAGTCCTGGCAAGTGGACGCCATAAAGAGAGTCTGGAACGATCACGGTGTTCAAAGATGCTATGAGCGCAGAAGGGAATTCCAGATATCAGACTCTGCAAAATAGTAAGACTTTTATATTTCACATCTTTATCTTGCATTAATTTCCTCAGTTTATTGTAATTCTGTAATAGTGTGGATTCATTCTGCTAAAATAAATGCATGTAAAAAGCATAGATTTCTGTTTAATATTTCAGAATATTAACCTTAATGTGTTGTTGTAAACATTTCAGTTACCTCACTGACTTGGACAGAATCACAGGCCCGTTGTACATCCCCACCCTTCAGGACATCTTGAGGGTCAGGGTGCCCACCACAGGCATCATAGAGTATCCCTTTGAATTTTCCAAAATCATCTTCAGGTTTGATATCATACTTTATTAACACATCATCTATACAGATATACTACGGAGCCCCTCGGATGACATGGTCCAAAAAATAAATAAATTGTGGCCACAAAATACTACTTCGTGCCCTCGAAATAGTATAACGTGCCCACAAAATACTTATTTGTGGCCACGAAATACTATTTCGAGTGCACGAAATAGGTATAAGGTGCGCACGAAATGCTAATTTGTGGGCACGAATTGGGTATAACGTGGCAACGAATTACGCATTAATTTAGGCTGGGAATGAGCTACAAATGCATTTTGAAAAGCCTGGCAATGCAGGGAACCATTATTACGGAGAGGCATTTAAACAGGATATTGAGAGCCCAGTTGCTGGGTGTGTGGGGAAGGAGGACCCAAGATGCAGGACT